ATGCTGATAGAATTGAAAGGAGAAACAGACAAGTCCACAATTATAGTCTGAGATTTCAAGCCCTCTCTCAACTACTGATAACACATGTAGACAGAAAATCAATAAGGGCATAGAATACTTGAACAATGCTATCAACCAACTTGACCTGTGACATTTATAGAACACTCCACATAGGAACAGCAGAATAGACATTGTTTTTAAGTATGCATGAAACATTTACCAAGATAGACCTTGTTGTGGGTCATAAGACAAGTCTCAATAAGTTTAAAAGGATTCAAGTCACTTGTGACATAATAAGAAATATATATTTCGTCTTTGCCCCCAATTCCTGACACTGATTTCCAAAGACGCTTATAATTTCTTGTGGTATGGGTGTTTGGACAATCTTTTGTTCTAATATTTGGTTTTGACCCCAGATCCTGACACAGAGTTCTTAAATCCCTTAGATTTCCTTGCGTGATAGAAGCAACTTTAGCTATAATGAGAGACTCTTGGCTCTTGGATAGCTTCAGGATGGGGGCTGGTCACCAGAGAGATAAAGCCATGATTAGAAGCTTGGAACTTTCAGCCTCCCCTCTCCTTATCCTCTGGGGAAGGGAGAAGTGCTGGAGACTGAGTTAATAAACAATCATGCCTATGTGATGCAGCTTCATAAAAAAACCCTTAAACTATGAGGTTTGAAGAGTTTCTGGGTTGGTGAATGCATCAACATGTTGGGAGGGTGGCGCACACCAATTCTGTGGGGACAGAAGCTCCTGTGCTCGGGATCCTTGTGGCTGTTTCTATGTACTTTTTCATCTGGCTGTTCATCTATGTCCTTTATCATATTATCTATAATAAACTGGTAAACATAAGTAAAATGTTTCCCGGAGTTCTGTGAGCTGTTATAGTAAATTATCCAACCTGAGGAGGTGGTTGTGGGAACCCCTAATTTATAGGCAAGTCAGACAAGTGTGGGTAACTTGAGCACCTACTACTTGCAATTGCCACCTGAAGTGGAGGACAGTCTTGTAAGATTGAGCCCTTAACCTGTGGGATCTGTGCCAGCTCTGGGTAGCTAGCATTAGAATTGAGCCAAACTGTAGGACACCCAATTGGTGTCCAAAGAGAATTGGAGAATTTCTTGGTATGGAAAACCCACACATTTGGTGTCAGAAGTGTTGTATGTAGAGGAATAGGGTTTTCTTTTATCACCCAAGGTATGTTTTCCAACCACAACGAAATTATAAATTAGAAATCAATAATACATAGATCTACAAATATTTGCAAACTAAACTGTTACAGGAAGTGTCAGTGACCAGTCCCAGGGGAATAACCAAGCAGCACGCAGAGAGTCGGAGAGTCAATGTTTAATCTCTTAATGCCAGCGGGCCCAGAGGAGACAAGTCTCCAAATTCTGAGCACCTCTTCCAGGTTTTTGTCAGGTTTTATACTCTTTTTTTGGGGGGGGTTACTCTTAACAAATCACACACAAGTGTAAATGATTAACCAATTAGCAAAAAGATTTAAAAGTTATCCAATAAACAATAATTCTTATAAGTAGTAGAATTATGATAGGCTTATAACAAACATTAGAATCGTCATAGGCTTATAACAAATATTATAATCATGGCAGGCTTGTAGCTTTGTTCAACTGTTCTGCGGTTTTAGTTTGCAAGGCTGACAGGTGTCAGTGTCTACTTTAGCTGCTTTGTGTTTTTAAGCAGAATCAGCACAGAAATTCCCCTAGTATGCATGGAAATTTCCCTAACAAAACAACACACTTATAAATAATCATGGGTAAAAGAATAAATCAAAAAGAGAAATTTGAAAATATTGTGAACTCAATGAAGATGAATACCCAATATATCAAAGTTTGTGGGTTGTAACTTAAGCAGTACACAGAGGGAAATTTATTGTACTAAACGTACACTCTAGAACAGCAGAAAGACCTCAAACTAATGATATCAGTTTAACTATTAAACCTAGTGTAAGCAGAAGAAAAGAAATAACATTAAGAATAGAAATCAGCTGCATATCCTTATGCAAAAAAGGAAAGAAAAATTCAAACCACGCCTCACACTACATACAAAAATTAACTCAAGTGGATCATAGACTCAAGTGAAAAACCTACAACTTCAGATCTTTTAGAAGAAAATGAAGGAGAAATCTTTGTGACTTTGGGTTATGCAAATTTTTTTTTAGATAACAGGGTCCATAAAAGAAAAAAGTTGTAAGTTGGACTTCATTAAAATTAATAACATCTACTCTTCAAAAGATACTGTTAAAAGAATGCAAAATAAGCCCTAGACTGTGGGGAAAAATTGCATATCACATAGCTGATAAAAGAATTATACCTAGAATACATAAAAACTCAAAATTCCATAATAGGAAAACAAACCAATTGAAAAATGGCAAAAGGTTGGAGTAGACATTTTACCAAAGAATATATACAGTTATCAAATAAACACATAGAAAGATGTTCAGCATCATAACATCATTAGTTATTAGGGAAAGGCAAATTAAAACCATGTGAGATATCATAACACACCTATTAGAATGTCTGTAATTAAAAAGCCTGATCATACCAAGTGGTTGGCAAGGATGTGGAGGAACTGGAACTTTCATATGCTACTGTTGGGAATGTAAAACAGTACAACCACTTTGTAAAACAAGTTTGGCATATTTTTAAGAAGTTAAACATATAGCTATCATATGACCTGGCCATTGCATTCCTAGATATTTAACCAAGAGAAATGAAAGCAGATGTCCACGGCAAGATTTGTACAAATGTGCATAGCAGCTTTTCTTATAATAGCCAAATGCTAGGGGCGAAAAACACCAAATTTCCATCAACAGGTGAATGGATAAATTGTGGTATCCACAGAGTGGAATTCTATTCACCAATAAAAAGGAATGGACTATTGCCACATGAATGGATCTCAAAATAACTATGCTGAGTGAAAGAAGCTGGACAAATAGTGTACATATTATACGATTCCATTTATATAAAGCTTTAGAAAATACAAACTAATCTATAGTGACAGAACAGGTCAGTGTTTGTCCAGGGATAGGGGTGGGCGTATGGGAGGGTAGGCAGGTGGGATTACCAAGGGGCCCCAGGAAACAAAGGATATGTGTGTTATTGCTTGAGGTGATGGTTTCACCAGTGTGTAGCTGTCAAAACTTACCAAGTTCGACACTTTACATACGGGTAGTCTAGTATTTTTTAATTATTCCACAATAGAGATGTTTACAACTATAGTACCACAAACTTACCTTTGTTTAGTACTTTTTTGGTATAAACATTTCCACCCTTTTACTTTCAAATTTTTAACATCCCTATATTTTAGGCATGTACTTTGAAACAGTCTAAAGCTAGACTTTATAGCATATAACATGTTTTAAATACTTTTTGACTGTCTGACAAATGAATGCAGTCTGGTAATCTAAATCTTTAACTTAGTCTAGAGAGTTTAATTCACGTACATTCATTATGACATATTTGAGCTCATTCCTAATACCTTATTTTATTTTTTCAATTTCTCCCCTCTCCCTCCCTCCCTCCTTTCTGCATTTTTCCTTTCTCCCTCTCTTGCCACCCTTTGTACCGACTGAATTTTTTAACCCTTCCTTCTTCCAACTTTTTCCACTCTACTGGTTCAGAACTATATACTGTATTTTATTGGTTATCCTAGAAATGTTAACAAATATTCTAACTTAACGAAGTCTACGATTACACAATATTTTTACTCTCTTCTTCTAGAATGTAGGGACCTTATTCATGGTGGTTTATTTCCTTGTATGTATAACGATTTCACATTTTATTTGGCTAAGTGGCCACAAGTACAACAGCATTTTAAATTGTATTTTCAGAGCACGGTGGTAGCGTGGATTCAGCTCTTAAATTGCAACAGGCAAGACTTGTGGTTACAGGTTCCTAAGGGAGGGCTGTTCCCCTCCCCTGCTGCTTTCAGAGCAGCAGCTGCAATGGGCCAGTCTCCTGCAGAGTGAGTTTTTTTTCTTCCTAGTTCATCCAGTGAGGGTGTTGCCCTTCAGAAATTCCAGACTTCTGCAGGGTCCTCAGATCTGATCCCCAAACCTGTTTAAGTACCAGGCTTTGTCTCCTGACCCTCATGTGTGTGGCTTTGGCTTATTTTCTATAAATTTTTAATTAACTGGAAATTTTAATAAGTTCTCTATTCTCAAAGCTTTCGGGTTAATACTATAGAGACTTAAAAATGCAAATTTTGGTTTCAGATTGCCTGGGCTCAAATCAAGGTTCTACTACTTATTACCTGTGACTTTGAGCAAATTAACGACATTCTTTGTACCTCAGTTTCCTCACATGTAAAGGGAGGAATAATAGCACCTGTCTCACAGAGTTATTGTGGGTATTAAATAAACTAATACACTTAAAGAGCATAGTACAGCACCTGGTTGATGTTGAGTAAGAGCTCAAATATTAGTTGCTATTACAGCCACTATTTTTGGGCTTAAAGAAAATGTTTTGAGGTTATATTGCATGCTAGTCTATGAAGGGGTCAGATGACAATATGAATATTCATGAAGTATTTTCAACATTTAAGCAACCTTATGTGGCTTATTCATATATGAATGTAAATAAGTGATTTTCTTCATTGAAAAACTAACAAGTCATTTGGTATCCATTATTTCCATTTTTCTTCCTTTTAGAAAATATTATTTCTTGAGGTTAGATCTTTAAAGTCTGTTTTTCAATTGTAAATTATTTCTACAAGATATTGGAATAGCAGATATTCCTACACAGACAAGATTCTCCCACTTACACGTAGCATAACTTCTTGTTTTTTTAAGATAAAATGATGCCAACAGCGGTTCATTTCACCTAGAGTCACAAAACATCAGCATAAGTATGTCAAGCTCTGGAACAATCCTCCATACCGCATGGGCTGGTATTACTTCATTCATTAGTGACATCTGAATAAGATAAATTCCAAGTTCAAGGCTTCTCCCCAGATAACACTATATTTCTTAAATACCTGGTGAATGAAGCTTGGTGGTTGAAGCTGCTACTCTCTTAGGCGATGAAATAGCAGGTTTATTAGTATCTTGATCTTTTTGTGCTTCTTTCTTTGTTCCTAGGTATAGTTTGAAAAGAGAAATAGAAAGAAAGAAAGCTAGTTACAATTGAAACGGTAACATAAATTGTTTGTGGAAAGGTTGGCTTCACAAAAGGCAAACAGAACAACAAAAGGAATATTTGTATGATTTGTTGCTATGGTCACCACCCCCTGTGCTTGAGGAATGACACACTGGTTTATAAGGAAGGGAATTTAGTTTTGAGTGGTCAGGGGGATAAGCACGCTGCTGTCTCTGGTTTGATGAAAAACTCCCCCTTCTCTGGAGGTCATTGCCACTCCAGTGACCCTGACGAACTATCTGGGAATTAAAATTTCACTGTCCTTAGCCACCAGCTTGGTCTGCCTGCCTGTGTCTGCTGAAACAAATTTCCAGAAGACAGGGAAGGAAGATATAGCCGAACACAGCTGCTAATGACTTCGGCATCACCCCGAGCTGAGCCACGGGGGACATGGTCTGACTCTAATTAATTTCCATGCAGCTGGTCCACAGAGGTGACTTACAGAGCCTTTTAGCTCTCTCCGCTGCAGCTGAGCCTCCGTGGAACCTGCTGCTGGAGCTGGCCCAGCAGAAGCATGTGGACGCTTCTCAAATTATGTCCAGGGACACTCAGGGCACAAGGCGGCTTCTCCTTTGTGTGCTGGGCACAACACTCACCTTCACATCACCTTCGTCAGAAAGTCAGAGAACAATGGGTGGAAGACGAGAGAGAGAACGTAGACCTGGAAGTACCTAAACCTTTCTCTGCTTCAGCACACTGTTATGTCATTTCAAAAACAAAGCTTGCGGGTTGTTCCTTAGATGCAGAACATAAATGTCGTCCCCAAACCCTGCAACCTCACTCCTCTTTCCAGAGGTAACTGTTGCTAGCAATTTCTTGTTTATTCTCCAGACATTTTTGTAGATATTTATAAACATATACACATATACAAATGCAGCTATTAGTTAAATAAATGAATCAAACACTATAATTTTTTTTTTTAGCTACCCACGGGTTTTTGAGATCTTTTTCATATCAACGCATTTATAGATCTTTTAAAGTGCTACATCACATAATGGGCAAAGATGTATCATAATTCAGCGTACCATCCCTCCTACGGATGAACATTTCGACTCTTGGCAAGTTTTGGCTACTGAAATAGCTACATGTGCTACAATAAACATTCTTCTACTTGTTTCTTATTACACATGGATCAGTATCTTCAGAGGACAAATGCATAGAAGTGCTTTTGCTAGATTAAGAGTCTACTCCTTTGCAATATTGCTAGACACAGTGCAACCGTCCACCAAAAGGATCCACTAACTCATAGTCCCAACCAACAGCGTCTGAGAACAATTCTTTCCACGTGCCCCACGCCCTACTGACCTCAGAGTTTCAGTCATTTAACTTTTGCCAGACACCAAGAGCCTTTTCACACTAGTCATGTGCACGTCTTTGTAAGTTGCTTAGTTAAGCCCCTTGCCCATTTTTCTGATGGATGTGTAAGAACTCTTCATTTATTCTGGATATCAATCTCTTGCCTGCTATGCAAATTATATTTTCCAGCCTTTCACTTTCAAAAAATTATTTATAGTCTCTTTCATTGCACTATAGTTTTAAATGTTAATATGTTCAAATGTCAATTTTCCCTTTACAGATTTACAAGCACTATTACAGACGTCCATGTATGTGTGCATGCAAGCGTATGCATGCCTGTATGTGTATGACATTATGAGGAGGCATCAGGGATTTGGGGAGGGAGGCAGGGGTTTGGATGAAACCTCCCTCTCTTCGTTGGCCTGAATGGGCCCACGCCCCCGCTCCATGGGGCCTGCCTCATCCACTCTCCCCACGTGTCCACCTGCCTCTGCTTCTCCACCCAAATCTGCACCAAACGTAATGTTTCATACTTAAAGGAAAACTAAATATGAATATGTATTTAGCATTTTGGTATTTCCCATTCAGCTTTCATGGAGTGCCATTTGCAGCCTCTATCAAAAATGTAAATATTGATAGCTTTGATCCTGCAATTCCAGTTCTACAAATCTCTCTTTGGAACACGTCCACAAGTGTGCAAAGACATATGTTCAAAGATGCTTATTACATTGTTTGCAATAATAAAGAAGTGTAAATAACCAAACTGCACATTGGGGAATGGTTAAATAAATTGTGGTATATCCAAACCATGGACTAACTATACAGCCATTAAAAAGAATGAGGTACGTCTATACTGTACTGGCATGGAAAGGTATGCATGATAAATAAGAAAGCTAGTTATTGAACAGTATGCATGGTATTATCCCACTTTTATAACACAAAATATCACCTGTATTATGGTTACAAATACATACAAAGATCTAAAAGGTAGGCACCAAACTTTTAATAGTGGGTACTTATCACCAGTAGGG